TAACTAAATAACAATATTATAATGGCTGTTGAGATTGTAATGTCATGATATTCTTATTTAACTTGCAAATCTTTGGCATTTCAACATTTAAAGTAGCAAATCTGACGAACTGTTTTTGTTTTTTCTGTGAGTCATAAACCAAAAGGTTTTCAAACCACTATTGATGGAAAATGGCCATAAATCCTGAGTCGTGATAATTTTAATAGAAACTTAGTTTAACTTAGTAGTGATTTAGTTAGCTCTGACACTGACACAGTTGTAGATTTGTCACAGTTGGTGGAGGAATGGAACCCAGGGTTGCAGACTCGACTCAAGTAGCTCAAAGAGAAAACCAAACTTACTTATCATAAAATAAAAGTGCTGTCACAGCAGCCAGACGAACAGAGTGGTGATCAGACACGGAAAAACTGGGACAGCATCTAAAATGCACAATGTTCCACTGAGAGAGAAACAGACTGTTGCATTATAAACACTGGGACTGATAAACCCAACAACAAACATCTGGCAAGAAGACAAGAGGGAACAGGTGAGAGTGGGTGTGGCAGGAGCAGAACTGATGCTGCCTTCCGTTTACATGGTACTGCAGGAACTGATAAATGGTAGTGACATCATTTCCCAACAAACCATTTGAAACTGCATTCCAGTTAGCCGACAGGTGACTGTATTGTTTCCGCTAACCTAGCTACAACACTGCTGCAATATAAACAACGACAAAAAGAGAGCTCTACTACGTACGTCATGCAAATAAACATTGATTTTAATAAATACAGTATTGCACAGAAAACACACTACTTGTGCGAGTGATTAAACAAGCATAAAAAAATTAAGAAAGATAATTAATAGTAAAAGTTACGGAGTTAACGTTCTAAAGCTGCGAGTAGCCACCATCTTGAAATCGAAACTTCCACTATACCAGTGGAATATTACCACTGGAGGTAATAAAGTTTAAATCTACCAATGGGAACAGAAAAATTACCACTTCCCAGGACTACTGGAACGCAGCATGAGACGCAACAATCAACAGAAGTAAACAGTGAGAATTTGAGTAAATTAAACACAAGAATCATAAAAACCATAATACAAAAAGACTCATGAAAGCACAGATCCTGACATCCTATGACTACCTTTTGAGTCTCATTAAAACTCATCGGCTGCTTCATGACATATTTTGCTAAAAGATAGACAGACAAATACTGACTGGTAAAAAAAAACACTATCACCTGCTGCTAAAAAGTGGGAATAATATCATTGTAACCCTGAAACATGTTATAGTTTTTAGAGAAAATGAGACTTGCGATTTCTTTCTAAAAGAGCTACAGTTTTCGTGGATTTACCATCAAACTGGTAGTGCATCGTCTGATGGATCCTCTCTGTCACACCGGCCAACCACTGATGGAAGCCCATCATCACGACACGCTCATCCACAGCCTGAGCACTCCCTGAGAAACAAACGCACACAGATTAGAGGATCAAACTCACATATTCACCCTTTAAATCAGCCTGTCAGTTTTCAGCCACTGAATTATTGTTATTAACAGTAAAAGCTGATCTGCAGCAGGATTAAACTGAAAAGTGATGAAGAACATTGAAGACCATGTAAAGGTATTTACAGTTTTTTACAACTGCTTACACACTAAAACATTTGTCTAACACTTTCCTCTCAAGCAGCAAAACAGCAGCCCAGATCTGAACAACTAAAGCACAATGTCAGCCTCACACTTCTTGGAAAACACTAAACCAGCTCATCTACTTCAGACAGAAATAATTTATTTGGTCACGTCTTGTTATTTCAAAGTTTTCTTAAATTTTAATCCAATCAGGTATAAGCACTGAGCTGATGAAGTGCCTGTGCAGGGTGGATTTCACACACAAACAGGTTCTTCCCATGTTGCCTTGCATCTGAGAACATAACTTGTGATGTTGATGAAATCTTACAGCCAGATACAGCCACGTGACAAGACAATGCCTGGACTCAAGACGTGAGCATGTGGTGATGAATACAATTACTTTTAGTAGCCTGCTGCAATGGTCTTGTGTAGAGTGGTGAATTGTTTTTTGTTGTTCCTTTTCTGTAAACCTCACTTAAAGCCCTGTCACACTATGATGTTATTATGAAGTTTGTCCAACACTAAAGATGTCTAATCTGAAGATGGAATTTTTAAAACATCTACTGGAAGCCTCTTTTGGACCTATACATACTGTAATGCTAACAATTACATCAAATATATAGCCAATAAAATTTCTATAAGTCAGCATAAGTTGTCTAAAGCAGAGATTCTTAAACTATGGGCCACGGCCCAATTGTGGGCCGCGAGCGCCACCTTGAGGGCCTCAAAAGAACAACAGTTTTTAACTTTGGGCCCCATAGGGCCGTGGGACCACATTGATTTTAAATAAGGTGCAAAACACTTTCTCACCACTAGTAGCAGTAGTGCACCACTCAGATGTTTAACAACTTTTTAATACATAGAAGAACCTTAAAAACCTGCCGAGAATGGAAACTTATTTTAAATGAAAAGTAGAAGCAAAAATGAAAGTAACTCATCAAAAAACGCCAAAGATTGTCATTAATATTAAGAGCAGCTTCTGTTTTTATCATGCAATATTTTAAAAGTTCAAAACATTATCAAATAGAGTTGCAATACAGCTATATGTTAATTTGTACTTTAAATTCATTTTTGTACTTTATTTTTAAACATTTTGAATG